CTGCCGAGAGCCGGGGGCGACCGAAATACGGGAGCCCTCTGGACATCCACCGCTACCTTTGAGAGTGAAGAATGCATTCCGTTTGCTAAGTTATTTGCATTTCACACAAAGGTTTCGCAAACACAAACTTTTTGCCAGCACCGTGTATCGATGGTGGTTCTCTTTGGGTTCTGATAATGGGGAAAATCAGGAATGATCAAATATGGGAAGGTCAGGTTTGTCATTTTAATTTGTTTCTAGCAGTAAACTAATTAATCTCGACATGTTGCCTAACCAGAAGAATGTTATTAACCAAAGTCATATTTCCCTTTTTTTTTTGCATTTATAACACAGACGATGCTAATTATACTTAATGAGTTTAACAACATATATAAAAGCTAATCTCCAGTTCCAAGACTCTAATTTGTGAGTTGCCATCTGTTTTTGGACCAAAGAATAAGGATTTGATTCTAAAGCTTTTTTATGAACAGCTTGTAATAAGAGTTGTTTATATATTAATTACTTAATGAATTATTATGGATTTTAGTCTTTTAATTTTCAGGCAATTTGGGGCGTATTGTGGTGACATCTGCTCATATTTTGACACTTCATGGTATTTAGCAATTTTATCATAAGGCTATTTTTCCCCCTGGTAATTTACAATATAATCCTGAAGAGAGTAACTCGCTTTTTTACGTCAGGTTACTATAAGGAATATTGTCCTATTACATCTGCGCTACAGAATGTTTCTCGTGATGAAATGTATTTTCATCTCATAAGCAAAATTAATGATCTCTTGTGGCTGTTTCACTCTGGTACCCCCCCTTTAATCTCTGTCCAAGAGTTGTAGACAAATTTTGTTTAAATATTGTATCATTAGTGTTTTTTTTTTTAGTGGCAAACTTTTAAAATGGCCCTGATTATTTCTTGAGTCTTAATATTCCCTTGTGATATTTTCTAGAAATCTAACGATGCTGAGGGCCTACGAACCTGCACCCTCTTAACCTCTGTTTTTAAGCAGCATAACTGTAAACATGACTTCATGAGAAATAACTTGAATTACCTTAGACGTTTCGAGAGGTTCTGTCTCATTTCACTCATGAGAAACATCTTCGTTCATTGCTTCGCTTGCAGATTTCAAATCTCTTACACCTGGCACCTTTTTATGATCACTTAAAACTCCTCAACAGGAATTTAGAGAAATCGGCAGGCATCGCATTGGTTGAGTTCTCAGGCTTTGTAGATGTTCGTAGATCACTTGAACTGGGTAGGAGGCTGGATTCATTCACAACCCAAGACATCTTGTAAGGAAGAAGGTAAATATCATGCAATGATGCTCATTGACGGCTTAGTGTTTACAGTGACTGAATGTTTTAAAGTTTTGATAGGGGGACGACTGTCCTTTTAGGAGAGAGATAAACCCGAGTTCTTGAGAAATCAGTGCGAGCGGAACTGCTTATAAAATGGAAATTTATGAGTGCAGTAATGGAGAAGTTGAGATGTATTAGTCAGTGTCTTATTTTCGCTGCAATGATGCTCATTGACGGCTTAGTGTTTACAGTGACTGAATGTTTTAAAGTTTTGATAGGGGGACGACTGTCCTTTTAGGAGAGAGATAAACCCGAGTTCTTGAGAAATCAGTGCGAGCGGAACTGCTTATAAAATGGAAATTTATGAGTGCAGTAATGGAGAAGTTGAGACGTATTAGTCAGTGTCTTATTTTAGGGAAGCCCAGGTCAGGGGAAAAACATTCTAATGTGGTTTCTGTGTTTTCCTGAGCTTGGTGTGTATGAGGTGGATATACACACATAAACGTGGCCTGTCGTGACTGTTGGCACACCATCCAAAACCATGTCTAAAGTTTCTCTAAAGCATCATTTCCTCCCTCAGGGGTGTGTGCGCTTAATTTATCGGTGCCGTATGGTATAGTCCTTAACGATGTTTCACATGGGCATTAGTTTATCATGAAATGATTGCAGTCACCATATCCGAGCAAAAATTAATCTTACCTACTTTGAGACCCTTTGCTTTCAAGGCTTCTGCACGTACAATAATACCTGACTGGCTGTCTTAATTTCTACTTTTCCACTTTGCAAATAAAACTACATAGTCTGTGTCAAAGTTTAAAACGGAGATTATGAAGCAAAATGTGTTAAGTTTTTGAGTTGGGACGAAAAAGGAAAACAGTGTATATGATTTGAAAGAGAAAACACGGAGGAATGAGAGAAGTCAGCAGTGAATAAACAGTTCCCAAAGATTTTTAAGGTCTTTTGCTCGTTTGTTTTTTTGTTTTTTTGTTTTTTTGTTTTTACAAATCTCCCATTTCTCATCAGGCAGGTCCCAGGAGACGCTGTGCGGTTCCTCTGATCGGATGCTGGGGAGCTCATCGGTCCGAGGGTCTACACATGAAGTCACCATAAAGGTGAGTGTTCCACCTGCCGCTGAATGTTTGCTCTTCTTCCTGAAATGCATTTAAGGATTCCGTTTCAGGAAAAGATGCAGAACTGCATTTTGCCAAAGCGAAACACCTCCTGTTTTAAGATGAGGTTTCCGGAAGAAGGAGCAGGTATTTTTCTCCTTGCTGAAATCGAAGGTAGTAGATGGAGCATCAGTAAATCAGTATTTACATCGTCACTTGTACCTGATGAATCGGACTTTTACTACCTTCCAGGACTTTTGGGTACCGAACGAGCTATTACCAAGCTTTCTGAGTCTTAACAGGAGAGGATGTCAGCTTCTGAAATCAATCTGTCTTGTCAACATTGTGAATTGAAATTAAGCTGAGTTAATTCATTGTAATTGGGCACACGAGTATAGATTTTATTGGCCTCCGGTATCTTTATTAGTTTCTTAATACGATGTGCGTCTGTTTGCAAATTGATTTGCTGGTTAACCTTGAAAGTATTAGAGCGACGTGGAGATTACTATTTATAGATCGAATGAGATGATGCTTCCAGAGCAGCAAAGCAGTCATAGGTACACATCGGCTTTGAGAGTTGAAGCTCACATCCCAAATTAAAACTTGAGGCCTACTTCCCACCCCCCCAAAAAAATATTTTTCTGTAAAAGTTGTTGTTATCTTGTAGTAGATGGGATTTTAGGATTCGAATTTATTATTTTTGTATTTTCTGGTTTTCTTTAATTTTTTTAGCAAAAAGAACACAGGGAACCTTTGTAATGTTTAAAACATAAAGAGGAAAATTAGGACAATATTTTTGCTTTGTTTTAAAACAATCAGAAGTACAACGATGGGCTTACATTTAACTAAAGGAAGAGTCTTAGTGAGATATCTTTGTTTATAACCAAGTGTATAAAAATCGTTTTAACAAAGTAAATGAGTAAGAGTTTTGAGGTTCTACTTAAATATTTGAAAAGCGTCATTTGTTAACAAAAACCAGATTTTACGAAATCTTCATGGAGTTGAGTTTGGGACTGGCTTTAACTTAGCCTAGCGTTTTCCAAGTTCACCCACGTTGTGTGGCCTGAATCTTTTTCACGGCCAAATAATATTCCACCGTATGGATGAGACCCCATTTTGTCCATCCGTTCCTGAATCGATGGGCACCTGAGTTGTAGTTATCGTTCATTAGGTACCAATCATGCTGCCGTGCATACTCGTGTACAAGATTTTGTGCGAACATGTGTCTTCGTTTCTCTGGGGCAGGTACGTGGGAGGGGAGTTGCTAGGTCATTTAGTGACGCCACGTCCGTCGTTCGGAGGCGCCATCGGTCAATCCTTTTGGAGATGCGGTGGAACCGTATTCCGAACGTTCCAAGGGAAGGTGGGAGGGCGGTCTGTCGCTCTTCGACACTTTGCTTGGCCATGGATTCAGTCTTGGGGGCGCGTAAGCATCAGTGGAACAGAACCGGGCACACGCTGAATGCCTGCTGTGTGTGTGGCATCGCCATCTCGCTTCATAGGTGACTCGGGACTTTGTTGGAGCCTTCGATTGCTCACCGTGCAGTGTGATTGTCTTGTGAAGAAACGGGCAAATCTTCGGGAGTGCAGGGTTCCCAGACCTTTTCCGTCAAGGGCCAGAGAGCGGACGGTTCGGGCCTCGCGGGCGGGCCGGCGCCGCAGCTCTGCAGCTGTGCGTTTGTGGTGTGCACGCCGCTGTCATCACACGTAAGTGCACAGTCGTCGTTGAGTGCCAATAAAACTTTATCGGTGGACGCTGGACATTGACGGTCACATCCTTTTCATGGGTCGCAAACTTTGACTCTCGGCCTTCTTTTTGAGCGTTTCAGAGGGTAGACACCGTCCCTGGCTCACAGGCCTCACGCACGCGGGCAGCCGTGACGAGGGGCATGCGCACACCAGCTGCAGCCTGTCGAGCTGGAGGACATTGGCGAGGCACATGATACGGGCAAGTATCATGTGATCACTTAGCAAGGACACCGCAGACGTTGGGAAGGAACTGAGACGCAGGAGTCGAGGGCCTCCCTGCTGTGCCATGACAAGTGACCGCCCGAACTCGGAGACTCTCGGGGACTCTCCACCACTACCGCCCCACTGCCCGCCACCTCCAAGGGACGTCAGGCCACATGTGGAGACATTTTTCCGGGGGGCGGGGTGCTGCCGGCATCCAGTGAGTAGAGTCCTGGACGCTGCTTGACGTGGACCCCATGTCGGTAACACCGAGACGGACAGACCCGCTCACTGGCACTGTCCGCGTGTCACGTTGTATTTTAAATCTCAGGAGACTCGTGGCTGTGGAAATGGGAGCTGCTGACCGAGTGATTCCAAAACCTGGCTCACTACTTGGTTTCACGATGCGTTGTTTTCCTTTCGTCGTGGTGGCTATTTATGTAAACTGGGGCATCGAGAGATGCTGTGATGCCGAGGTTTATGGGATCCAGGCCACCTCAGTGGGCGAGTCGACTGCCTTCACGTCTGCGGAAAAAGCCACGGGTTGATTTTCCAGAACGCCAGAGGCCACGTCATGTGAGTGAATGACCTCGCGTAGATGAGTCAGCTACCAGAGGGACAGGAATAGTCGTGCCAAATGACTCCCGCGTCTGTGGGTGAAATCTCAATGTCTCAGTGGTTTCACGCCCAGCCCGTGTGTGTTCCTCAAATTCGTTCGAAGGCCTAGCGTCCATTGCTCAGAATCTATTTCCAGCCTCTCCGTCTTAGAGATGATTAACATCCGTAAATTAATTTACGACCTAATGGGAAACATTAGCTCAAAGACCACAACCGTTAGAAAAACAGCAAAACGCTCTTCTGTGGAGGCAGAAACTGCCCGTGTCCCCCAGGGCCATCCGCTGTGAGCTCTTGGGTACGTGAACTTGGCCTTTCACCGTGTGGACAGGAGGAGGACGCACAGGGGAAGCCGTGCCTCTCCTCTCGTGCGCATCGTCGGGCTCGCGTGATGCAGACGATCCGAGCCACGCTTTGCTCCTAGCAGCCCGAGCGTCTTCACGAAGGCTTCCTTCTGGGCCGGCCTCCTGGGCAGACGGAGGAGATGTGGGAAGAGACAGGCGAGGACCGAGTGTTTGACAGGGGACCCTGTGGCCACTTGGGAGGCACACAGAGGTAACCGCAGGACTCGACGCCTTGCCTGTCACGTCAGCATCTTCCACTGAGGTGCACCCAGGTTTTGGACGCAGGCCACAGCCAGCCGTTAATGAACCCAGAAGGGCAGCCAGGCACAGAGGGGAGCCTCCCCCAAGGATGGCTTCTGCTCCTTGAGGAGAGTGGCATTATTTTCTAACAGGAGACCCCTGCTCTCTGCCCTCCCGAGCCCGTAGGCTCGTTTTCCACTTGGAAGCGCCGAGGCTGTCACGCTGATTATTTCCGAAGACATTGCCACGCTTTCATTATATTTTAATGAATGTGAAAACAGTTCGTGTTCGCAGGAGGAAATCTGAAAATATGGAAAAGCACACACACATCTACAGGGATAACCCCATCCCGAATATAGGTGTAAGAGGATTTTGCAGAGGGAAAAGCACACACACATCTACAGGGATAACCCCATTTAGAAGATAGGTTTAGTAAGAGTATTTTGCAGAGTAACTTCTGTGTGTGTGTGTATGTATGTATGTGTGTGTGTGTGTACACATTTAGCATCATGCACTTTCTGTCTTGAAAGCGACTTTTTTCAAGATATAGCAATATATCTTAGACATTTTCATGAAATATTCCTTTAAGGATTGCATTTTATTCCGTTGGCTTTTTCCCATATTTAAATGGTGCTGCTGCTCTGACTCTGGTCATAAAATAATCATTGATTTTATTATAACTTTGGACCATCTGACTCCGAGTAAACAAATACAACTAAGGGTAGTAGAAAATGTTATATTGGGAGGGAATTTTTTCTTACTGTGGAACCATACACATATGCTCATTGGTAAATGAAGATTAATCTATGAGAAAATTCAGCCAAGATGAAACCACTGTTAATATTTTCGTGTATTTCCTCCCCGGGCTTTTCCGTATATATATTTTCCTATCATTGGGGTCAAACTACAATAGCTTTCATTGATTTAATCATATTGTCATTGGCCAAGAAGATGTTTCAGCAGCTACATGTTGGCTCAGTGACATAGGAGAAAGAGATAAGCAAAGTGGTAAAACAAGCCTGTTTCATCCAAAATCCACTGGTCTGCAAGCCAGTTTCAGAGAGCATTATGCGTCAATGTTCATGCGCACGTTCAAAATGCTTCTTGACGTGAGCCCCGATTGTGAAGTAAAAATGAACTCGGCTCTCGTGCGAGAAGACAGATGACAGAGATGAGGTCACTTCGGGCCGCTGCGCCCGCTGCTCTGCTCCCCGGCCCTCAGCCCCAGGGACCCGCGCGAGCCTTACCCACCGGGCTAGAAGCGCAGACGCGAAGTGACCAACGCTCGTCCATCCCCGGGGAAACACAGAGCTGCTGGAGCGGATTTTCGGGGAACGTCCCCTGACGGGGCGAGCTCTTGAGAGAGAAGCTTTCTCTTCGAATGGGGTGCGGCCAGCACTGCAGGTGTCAGTCAGCAAGTGCTCAGCTCATGGTTTCAGGAGAAGAAAGTCACTTGGCAAGAACCTCCCTGACGTGCCGTTTCTGTCTGTCGCACCAGGGCCAACTCTCGAGTACGCGCTCGTGGCTTTACCTTTTAAGATAATTAAACGGCAATTTAGATTTTGTAGGGGGCGGGATGAGCAGACCTCGGCCTTCCCAGCGAATGGGAGGCACAGGACATGCCTGTGCCATCGTAAGGATGACACGAAACCCTTACACGACACTGCTCTTGCGACCACATTTCTTAAGTGCTTCGGCAAGGGAACTGTGAGTGACAGGAGCCGTTGCCACCTAGAGATTGAGTCGGAAAGAGGAGAAATGCTATAAAGGAAATTCCCCCTTCGGCTTCTTGACGGCTGCGGCCGCAGATCGTCGTCATCATCGTCGTCGGGGTGGTCGTCTGCAGCAACGCCGGCAGCCCGCACGGATCCTGCTTACACAGCGCGGTGGGGACGCGGCTGTGACTCTCCGGGGACGGTGCTGGCTTCTTTGCACAGTCACAACTGCAGGATCTTCGCATCCAGCTAATGGAAGGTGTCTGGAGTCGAAACTGGGGCAGGCAAGAGAATGGACACTATTGCGCGACTTAAGAAGCCGCGATGGTGGTCGTAGGTGGCGGTGCTGGTTTTGTTTCTTCCTTCCGTTCGAGGCCCACCGGGGCTGCAGAGGCTCTGCTCGCTTTTATGCCAGAGTCGCAGGGTTTGGAGAGTGTCCAGCGCAGTTCTCAGAACTTGAACTGGAAACGGAGGGCGTTCCGGACACCAGCTAGGTGTCAGGTCACGAGCTGTGTCCGCAGCCAGGTCCGTTAGAAAGTGCATAGCCGCACACAGTCCCCGAGGTCGCTGCTGGCGGTGACGGGCTTTGGAGCTGCCGCTTGTGTGTTTAAAAGTCACCACTTGACTATTCCGAGCAAATCGGCTTTGGGCGGGTTCTGGGGGTGCGTGTGGTTGGCCGAATAAGAGTGATCGCTACTATTACTGTATCTCTACTGTGCCTGAAGCCCTGGTCTCAGGGTTGATGGAAAAGCATTTAAGCCTGTCACCTCTCCCACGTAGAGGGGCCCTTGTTATCTTCCATTTGGAGATGGCAGAACTGAGTCACGTAACTTGCCCTTGGACCTGGAGCTAGAAAGGGGTGGAGATGTGACGAGATCAGGCCACGGGACCCCCGTGTCCCCCATTTCTACCCTGATCCTCGTGCAGCCAGCACAGGTATTTCAAGCTTCCCATCATGTGTCCGCCGAAACCGTTGTTCGCAGAGAGGACACAGACCAACTTCTGAAAGACGCGGGTGGCATTTCACTTCGAACCTTAGCGCAGTGGGGCAGGCTCCCTGTCGTGGGCCCCGGGAAGCCCCCGTTAAGGGTCAGAATCATTCTCGTAGAGTTTGTGTGCACGTGTGTGTGCACCTGTTCAACTCCCAGTGTGGCCAAGCACCATGCTTTGAACATAGTAGGTGCTCATTTTTCCTAAGTACAGGAGTATTAATTACCATAAATTCAGCAGGGAGCTTGATGATATGATTCCCTAATGTCATATGATTCAGCATATGACATTTTCCTTAAACGTGGGAAAAGCAGGAGCCTCCCGCAGTCAGAGGACTTGGTGGTATACTACTCTAATACACATTTATGTGCGTGAAATGACGCAACAGAAACCTAAAACCGCGATTTTTAAAAAGCCATGATTTTCTTCTAATATCTTCATTGTGACATGCAGGTCTTAGACACAAGAGGATAGGTAACTTTTATTTCCCAAAGTTATGAGTCGATTGTGGCGAGGTTTGTCCAAAACGCTAATTTTTGCCAAGTGAAGATGGACCGTCCTGCTCATTGGAGTCAAAAACGTGAAACTGACTCCTAAAAACAAGCACCACCACCGTCAAGCAGGTTGGTCGGAGGCGTGCATCCCATCCAAACACCCGTTGGTTGTTGGCTTCCCTTGACTTCGGTAAAATTGAACCCACAGAGTTGAAGTGGCCTCAATATTGCTGTTAGGTTTATGATCAGTTCGAAGCATGTTTTCCTGTGTGTATCGAATAAGAATATATATGTACATTTTTTAGTTCACTAGTCTTTTTTGGAATTAGTTAGGCTTTCAAAGAAATAGTCATTTAAAAGCCAGTTGAGTAGGTATCTTCTGTGGGGTCGATTTTGGTCCAGTTAGTACATCGGTTTTTAAAAATTACGATATGTCGTTGAGGGGGACCAGCAGAAACCCTTTAAAACGTTAGCACTGTATCGGGGAAAACGTTCCGTTCTTTGGAGCCCAACTTATAAGCGCAGAGAGAAGACGAATCTGTGATGAGGAAGCAGCGCCAGAGCCCAAACAGCAGCTTCCGCACTCGGAAAAAGGACGATGCGTGAAGATAAATAGAGGAACGGGCTGACGGAATTTGCCCGTGATCCCCGGTCTCCTGAGGACCCGTATTCTCGTTTTCCGTGGTCCTGTGCGAGCCCGTGCCCAGACGCGTGTGTGTGTGTGTGTGTGTGTGGCAGACGTCACGGGGTGGGGGCTGTGAGCCAGGCCCCGGGTACAGCTGTGCTGTCTCTACGCATCGGGACACCTTCCGTTTACAAAACAGAAAGATCTGGCTGCTGAAAGACAAAGTCAGTCCTTGATTTTCTTAGGAAAATGCCGGTAACGTCGTGGAAAGATTTTACTCAGACGATTTGAAAAGGCCTGGCTCTTCGGGGGCACGGTAAATGATCGTGTCTTTTTGGTGGCTGAAGTTTGGTAGTGTCTGTAGGTGGTGTGAGCATCAGAGCTGCAGGGGGTGGAAGGAGGGTGTAGTGGCGTCTGCTAGCCCCTGGGGATGCTCGGGACGGCCCCATGGAGAGTCACCCAGCCCCGTGTCCCCAGCCCCAGTGTGCACAGTACTGAGGTTGAGAGACCCCATTTGTTACACGTCACTCTTTCTAAATGCCCAACACGGCAGAGGGTGAGGGGTGCGGTGCTGTCGGAGTCCGTTGAGGCCGCCGTAGCAGAAACACCACTGACCGCGTGGCCGACACAGCAGACGTGCGTTTCTCACGGTCGTGGAGGCGGGAGGTCCAAGGTCAGGGCGCACCGGCTGGTTCAGTGTCTGGTGACGACCCCCTTCCGGCTCCACAGATGCCGTCTTCATGTCGTGTCGGGGGTCTCTCTGATGGGGGCACTCGTGCCGTTCATGACGTCACCTCCCGCGGGCCCCCCCACTCTCTGTCAGAAAGAACCGAAGACGATGAATTTGTCATTGGAACCGAGCCGTCCTCAGTACTGCAGTACTTTATGTCACCGGATACCTCTGTAGAGCTTCGTTACTCTGCAGTGTATATTTGCGTGGTTTTCCTTCTCCTTTTTGAATGATGTTATGTGTATTTTTTTTTTCATTTGTCCTCTGACTTTATCGTTTTGTATTTAGGATTTTGGTAACGCTGTCCTAGGGGTGAACTCCCCCGAGTTCAAGCAGAAATCCCAGCCCGCATTTGAATTTTCACTGTCAGATTTTCCTTTTGATGTATACAAAAGTACAAGAGTATTAATTACCATAAATTGAGCAGCCGGAAACAACACATTTCTTATTTCTCAGTGATCCTGGGTCAGGAGTCCCAGGTGGCTTAGCTGGGTCTCCCAAGGTGGCCGTCAAGGTGCCGGCTGAGCTGCATCCTTACTTGGAGCTTGGGGAGAGGGCTCTTCCAAGTTCATGTTGTTGGCATGATTTCAGTTGCTCGTGGTTGTAGGACTGAGGCCCACAGCCTCCCGGAGGCTGCCCTCAAGCTCCCTGGGGAATTCATGTGATGGCAGCTTTTATTTTCAATGCTTGCAGGAGAGTCCCTCCCTCCAGCCTTACATGATAATGTCTCATAATTATGGGAGTGACAACTGCCCACCCTTGCCGTGGAATGTAGCCTTGCCAAGAAAGCGACATCCATCTCTGATGTAGCGTAGGGCAGCGGTCCCCAACTTTTGTGGCACCGGGGACCGGTGCTCCTAGGTGATCGGAGGTGGGGCTGAGGCGGTGATGCTGGCGCTGGGGAGCGGCTGCAAATGCAGATGAAGCTTTGCTCGCCTGCCTGTTGCTCACCTCCTGCTGTGTGGCACCCCCACCCCACCCCCCACACCCTCAATAGAAGCAAGTCACGGGTCCTGCCCTCATTCGAAGGGAGGGCATCATACCAGGGTGGGACTCAGCCATCTTGGGGTGCGTCCCTTACAACGACCTTTCCGTTCACATCCTCTCAACTCAAATATATACTTTGTCCTTGTCTTTTTCCGAACAAACAAAAACTTAATTCTCATTCGATGATAAAAGTTTTGCCACAGATAAAGATGTCTGTCTGAAAAGGTAGGACATGGGCTCTGCAGAGAGGTCCCTAACACCCCGGAGTGTTTGGTGTTAGTGGCCCAGTGGAAAGCTGGGGTGGCCTTTTTTGGCAGTTGACGGCACAGTGAACTCCGATTTGTCCGGGACAAGGGCGTTTACTGCGTTGGCATCTTTCCAACGTCCAACTAGGACCTTGGGAAGAAAATCACTCTGTTTTCTTGGCCACCTCAGACACACAGGTCCCACAATTCTCACCATCGTGTCCCGCACCCCAAGTTTTCAACTGTCTTCCAGCTACGGAAAGTCTCAGCCAGCCTGATGCAGCGAGTTCTGTGGCAAAATACAAAAAAAATGTAGACTCTCTGCTTCCTGAGACGTGGCCTCGTCATAGAATGATGTGGGTGGGGGTGACGTGTGCCGTTCCTTAGTTCCTCGCCGACGTTTGCCCCCTTCTCCGTGCCGTGTAGCCCCGGTAGGTGGCGTGACCATCGCGTTTGTTATTAAAACTCTCACGTTGTGTTGAGACGTGGGCCGGTCTGCTCAGTAACCCCCCTGCGTCTGGATACGCGCGTCCTGTGACAGTCAGCCCCGTGTCCGTCACGGGCCGCAGGGGTCCATCGTAATGCCCGTTTTCAAGGACGTGGTGACCACAAACGCGCACGCGATTTTTTATCGAATGAAAAGTCGGGTTTTGTTTTTATTTTCTGTGCGCTCCAAAATTGGCCTTTTTTTTTTTTTTCATGTG